CCCCCCAATCCAATCCAGGGACCCCCCCGGGCTGTTCTCCGGCCTTTGTGCTGCTGCGGGAGCGGAGAGAGCCGGGAGAGGGCAGGGCTGGGCGTCCCGGGACGGAGCTTTGGGCTGAAAGTAAAGGGGGATGGGGGGAAAAGTGGAGAGAGGAAAATGATTAAAAAGCTATAATTAAAGAAAATAGACAGGGAAAGGGCAGATTTTTTAAAAAAGGAGCAGGAGAAAAGGAGAGAAAAAAAAAAGGGGAGAAAGAAAATTAAGGAGCAGGCTGGACGGTGGGCTGCGTTGTTGAAGTTGTACTTGGGGGGGTCCTGGGGGGGTCCCTGTGCCCAGCGGGTGTAGGTGTCTTAAAGAGAACCTACTCCCGCAAAGCAAACCCCCCCCCCCAATCCCTTTTTTTTATTTATTATTATTTTTTTATTATTAATTTAGTGATGGAAGCTTTTCTGTGCTGGTTTCACTGGTTTTGTTTTGTTGTGTTGGATTTATTTTATTGTTTTTTTTTAGTATAAAACTTCATTGCAATGTGGCTGCGGCCCCACAAACACTTTGGGCTGCATGCAGTTGTCTCTTTTTTTTTTCTTCTCCTTCATCCTTTTTTTTTTTTTACCCTTATGATTAATGAGTTAAATGCATTGGCCAGCTGCCCTTTATAGCCATGAATGAGTTCCTAAAATGGGGGGGGGAGGTGGAAAAGGGGCAAAAAAAAAAGAAAGGAAAAAAAAAAAAAGGGATGGGGTTATGGGGGGGGGTTTAAAGGGGCTCATCTCCTCCCAGACCCCTTCCTCCCTCCCAAGGAAATGTTTTTCTATCGCAGCGACTCCACCAAAGGGATCAATCTCCCCTTTAGGGGGAAAAAATAATAATAACAACCTGTAAATTTGGAAGAAGAACATTTCCCCGTTTCACCAGGATGCCCGAAGGGTTCTGTTTTTGCAACGCTGTCTGAAAACTGCTTTTTGTTTTCCTTCTTTTCTTTTCTTTCTCCTCTTTTTGGGTTTGCTCCTCCCTGCTTCAGGGCATCCCCGTGAGCACAGCTGCAGGTGCTCAGCAGCCTCAGGGAGGCAGCCAGAAGTTCAGACCTTTGGGTTTTTTGTTGTTTTGCTTTTCCTTCTTTCTCATTTTTATAACTGGGCAAGGAGAAGCACCAGAAGAGGGGGAAGCACAAGGCGAGCCAAGCCAGACAAGCACCCGAGTGATAACTCACCCTGAACCCTTTGATAAACGACTTCACTTGTTTCCCCCCCTCCCCTCCTCCCCTTTTCTTCTTTTTTTTTCCCCTTCATTCGCCGCACGCCAAGAACAGAATTGGCCCAAACGAGTGCAATTGGCAGCAAAAAACCAACATCCAAGTGTGACTGGTCAATAGAGCTCTTGTTCCTGTGCTGGGTGCTGTGTGAAGGCTCTGCCCGCAGCCTCTGTGTGTTGGGAACGTGCATTGGAGTTGTGTTTTCTTTCCCTTTTCTCTCTCTCTCTGTCTTTTTTAAATATTCATCAATGGGGTGGGTGGTTGGCTCCAGTCATTAAAATATCTCTTTCCCCTCCCCCTTGCTTTCTCTAGGACTGCCACTGTTGAGTCTGTGGGAGTATGAATCAGCAGCAGCAGAGAATGGCTGCAGTTGGGACAGACAAAGAGCTCAGTGACCTGCTGGACTTCAGTATGGTGAGCGAAGGCGCCCGGGGGGGCTTTAAAGGGCCCGGGGCTGTGGGGAGGGAGCTGGGAAGGGGAGGAAATGTGAGCCTGTAAATTGGACATGATGGGTTTCAGATGTGCCCTGTTTGTGTGCGTGCACATGTGCTGCAACTTGTTTATTTTTAAGTTAAAGCGGAGCTGCTGCCCCTCCTGGTCCCTCCCCTTGCCCCCCAACCCCCCCCCAACCCTCACTTTCCCCTTCCAAGCGTGGTGTTTCCTCGCAGGGAGCGCTCAGAGGTGCTTTTTCAGATGGGAAATTGGGGGGCAATGTAAGGCAGCGAGCTCTGTGTCGGTGCTGATGGTGCAGAGTGCTGGGTGGCTGCTGCTGCCACCCTGGATGTGGACCTGATGCAGAGCTGTAAGTTCAGTAGCCGATCAATCAGCCTTTTTCTTTTCCCTCTCCCCAACCCCAGACTATTAAAGTTTTGCTCCCGCAGGTTATTCTATCTCAGTTTGAAATTTATCCAAGCTCTCCAGCTCATGATTTCAGCGGGACTCAGGCGCTCGTGTTCCCCTCTCTCTGCTTTTCTGTAGCCTGGAAACCTTCAGCTGCGTTTTGAGCGCTGTTTTTCAAAGAAACAGGACCTAAAAGTTCCCCCATATGGGGATGTGTGCAGCTCAGGGGGAAGAGAAGTCCCACAGAGCTTGGCCAGGGTTTGTGCCCGGTGTTTGGTGACGTATGGCGTTATGCACATCGTGCCACAGCAGGGCTGGCAGGTGTAACTGCAGAGGGGAGAGCTGCGTTCAAAGGAGAATAACTCCGTTGGGTTCCTCGGTTGTGGGCTGCACCCTCAGGGTGCTCACAGCTCGTGTCTTGCTTTTAAGATAAGCGTTGGTGCTGCAGAGATAGAGAAAGCAGCTCAATGGGAGGAGCGACCTCGGTGCTGCTGCTGGGGGGGCTGGGGGCACCCGGCCCCGGGCTGGGTTTTGTTGCACCTTGAGGGAGAGGAAAGGAGGGAAATGGCAGCAAAATGAAGGGCACCCGCTGTGCTTGTTGTGCCTGTGGGAAGTGCTGAAGCGTGGCAGCGTTTTGCTGAGGTTGAGCAGTGGGAGCTTTTGTAGGGCTGAGGTGTCTGCCTGTCCCTGTGTGCTGGGGGGGGGGGGGTTGAGGTCTCCATTCCATGCCATAGCAATTTGCAGAGGTCCGGTTTGCTTCATCCTGTTGGGATGCTGTTTAGCAGTGCCATGTTCTATGGGTGTTGTGGGCACTGGGTGAGGCAGACGTGAGCTCAGGGTTTGCTGGAAGTGCTGCATGGTTACTCCTGTTCTTGTCCCTGGGGTCCTGCTCTGAGCAGTGCCATCCCCTGCACCCATTTGAAGCAGTGCTGTGGGTCAGGCTGTGTTAGTTCCTCTCCTGCTTTGCATTTTCTCTTAACAAAAAAAAAAGAAAATCAAATCCCACTCGCTTTCAGAAACCCAAAGCTTTATTTCCAAATTACCAAACCAGCTTCATTTGCATGCTGAGAGCTGTATTCCACGGAGAGGTCCTGACCCGTTCCCTCTGTATCTGAATATTTCTCTTCTTGGAGACTAATCTTCAGCCAGGGGTTGAATTTGGGTTCAATTCCAGCCCTCCTACGCTGGTGTAAACCTGGGGAATGACCAGAATTTGTCCTGGGCTCGTCTGAAGCTCCGACGTTTGGGGGCGGCCGTTTGAGGGATCAGGGCCTGCAAATGTCATTTGCCAGCGACTGATTCGAAGACATTCCCCTCCCTGTGGGATCAGTTGGCTGCTGGGCTCCAGCACAGCCTGGAGTTAAGCCAGGTCCATTTCACAAACCTTCAGCTCCACACACCCCGAGCCTGCGTAAAGGGAATGGGAACGGCGCTCCTGTGGGATGCAGAGCAAAAACTAAATGCTTCCTAGCGAGTGGCTGGGCTGCACCCCGTGTCCTGGGTTGCTTTGTGTCATTGGGATGCAGGGTTTGGGGCCAGAAAGCTCACTCTGAAATGTGTGTATGTAAATATATTCGTATGGGGTATTTTGGAATAAGCAGGAGTGGAGCATTGAACCACTGATGAAGGATGGAGGAAAACTGGAGGCATTTGGAGATGCTGGAGGCGTTTTGCTTCAAAGCAGTGCTTTGGTTCTTTGTTGTTTTTTTCTTTCCTTTCACCCCCTGTAGGCTGTGGTCCCACTCTGTGCTGTGCATTAAGTGAGCCTCATGGCTCTGCACGGTCAGAGCTGTGAGCAGTCAGTGTGAACAGGCTCGTAGCCTTAAGACTCTTTAATAAATACATCAGGTAATTACTGAGCTGCAAAGGCACTCACCTACAGCTTTTCCACCACCATCAGTTGACAATGAGAGTGAAAAACCAAAGGAATCTGTGATGTGCATCTGGGTGAGCAGGAGCCAAGCGTGTGGCTGGGAGGGCTGATGCAGCTCTGGGCTGTGCACCATGCACTGCTTCCCTCCTCCTCAGAACAAATTGCTTTCTATAATTGCCCCAAAGTGCAGGTAATTTGTACGCTTGCTTTCACCACTGTTCCCTGGCCATGGTCCAGAGCGGGCTTGCAAATCTGGAGGAGAGCTTCAAGAAAGCATCCTGCCTATTGATTCCCATTGCCAGCTCTGTGCTGTTTTGTTTCTGGTTTTTTTTTTTGCAGATGCTCGTTTGGGTGCTGTATTATTTTTTTTTTGGTCTTGTAGTTGCCAGGCTCTGTTCTGCAGTGTGGGATGCACATGGTGTGTGTGTTGGGAGGTACTTGGTGTGGTCATCCTGGCCCCCACGCTGCTGGTGTTGTCATGTCCTGGGAAGGGCTGAAGGATCCCTGATGGGGATGGGGGTCCGTGGGGTGGGAATCCTGGCTGTGGGGCTCACCCGTAGTGCCAAGCTGGAGAGCAGCAGGAGGCTGCGTGCCAGCCTGGGTCTCTGGCAGGAGTGAAATACTGTTAACAGCCATGATTATTAGCAGAGTATTAACCATATGCTGCAGGATGCAGGGTTCTGACTCAGTGAGGGTGGGCAGAGGGTGAGCAGTCACCCAGGACTGATCTCAGCAAGCGATCCAACCCTTGAGATGAGGGTGAACCCAAAGCATTCCAGCGGCTCCTGCAGCACAGCAGCACCCAGTGCCCAGCTCTGGCCAAGGCACAGCATCTGCGTTTCCGTGATAAAACTGCTGCTTTTGTTCCAAGTGAGGTTTGCCTTACGCCGCTGTGGATGTTGGGGCTGCAGTCAGGAAGGTCTGTCTGGAATGAGCACGTCTGAAATATCCTGCTGGCAGCGGCAGGGAGCGAATTCCCTCTTCTCCCCGCATCAGCAGCTGGATGCCTTCCACTCTGCAAAATAGATCTAGGGTTGGGAGCTCAGCCCTGAGGTCGGTGCAGCCCGGATTCGGGAGGTGGGAGAGCAGAGGAAGTGAGAACAGCCATTTAATGTGAGAACACTGATGCTCCGGTGGAAGTGCCCAATAAATGAGGTGCTGTGACTGGGTCTGGCAAATTCCCTTTCTTACGAGTCCGCCGCTGGGAGCGTGGGGGCTGGGGCTTCCTGAGTGTTTGGGTTTCTTGTGCTCTGGGTTTGCATCTGGGAGAAATGCCCGAGGAGGCTGTGGATGCCCCATCCCTGGAGGCATTCAAAGCCAGGCTGGATGTGGCTCTGGGCAGCCTGGTCTGCTGGTTGGTGATCCTGCACGTGGCAGGGGGGTTGAAAAGAGATGATGGTTGTGGTCCTTTGCAACCCAAGCCGTTCTATGATGCTGTGATAAAGGCAGCAGTGTGGGCTCAGAGCTGCGAGGACGCACTTTTGGCAGTGTCAGATCCAGCACGGGGGGACTTAAGATGGGGGATTTCACACAACCGCTTAAATCGACGGGATTCAAATCCAACAAAGGCCCCGTAATGACCCAATTACGGAGCCTGGGAGGCTGTGCCGGGTCCCCCCCGATGTGTGCCAGCCTCCCCCTTCCTCCCCCTGTTTATTTTTGAAGCTGAGTTTCAAGCAGAAAGGAAACTCGCTGTGGGTGGGTGAACCTGGGCTGCGAGTGACACAGGCGGGCGCTTGGAGGGTGACTGTGCCCCACTGCTCCACACAGCCCACGCTGCAGTGGAAAAACAGGTTGGCAGCAAAAACAGCCACCCCAAAAAACCAAAAAGTGATGCTGGGAGCCCTCAAAAAAGATGCAAAGCGAGCAGTCGGGGTTCCCTCCTCCGCGGTCCCTTGGAGGGGAGGACAGGAACCGCAGGGGTGAGGGCATCCCTGCGGGTTGGGGATTGCCCGGGGGGGGACCCCGCTTTGCAGAGCGCAGTGGAACAAGGCTGCTCATTCTCTCCACTCGAAGCCTTCCTCTGCCAGCATCAGCAAGTCGTGTGAGCAGAAATGCTCGTGATGAAGAGCTGGTGGTGCTTTTTGCTGTTGTGTTTTCACTGCTGGTGATTGTGATGTTTGCACGTCCCGTCCCTCGGTGCTCGTGCGTCGAATCACAGAATGGCCTGGGTTGAAAGAGGAGCACAGTGCTCATCCAGTTCCAACCCCCTGCTGTGTGCAGGTCACCAACCAGCTGCCCAGGCTGCCCAGAGCCACATCCTGGCTTTGAATGCCTTCAGGGATGGGGCATCCACAGCCTCCTTGGGCAACCTGTTCCAGTGTGTCCACACGTGTGGCACCTCCTCTTGGAAAAGGGCTTTTGACCTCTTTGCTTTCATGCACTGTAGCAGGGATGGAGGTGGGCACAGCTCGGGGCAGCCGTGCAGGTTCTGCTTTCCATCCTTTCAGAGCTATTTGCAGAAAGCAACGCCGTGGCACTGCAGAGGGAGGCAGGCTGCGAGCCTCAGCGCTGTCAGAGTTGGTTTCTTTTGTAGCCCGACTTCCTGAGGAAGCAAAGCTTGTGTAGCAGTGGGGGGCCAGGCCCTCAGAGGCCCCCCAGAGCTCCAGACCCCAGGCAGCAGCTGGGAGGCTGCTGGGAGCCCCTGTGTGCTCAGACAGCACCCACACCTCTGTGTCAAGTGTGTATAATGCCTGCAGTGTGCATACGTACCTCTGATCCCAAATGTCTGCTTTCTGAATGGCCGTTGGTTTCCTCGCTGCTCCCTTTGCATCCATACTGTGTGTAGCTGTGTTTTTTCCTCACCAGCATTTGTAACTGGGCTGGTTCTGTACGAAGCAGCTCCTCTGGCCATGGGCAGAGAGCAGTGATGTCAGGGCATGGAGCTGCCTTCCTGCAAGCTCTGCTGCCGTTGCATCGTTTAATGTTCAAAGCATTAAACTTTGGAGTTACTCAGACATTGCACAGTGAAAAAATAATAACAGTTGGAATGGCTGGTGGTGAAAGTAACTGGAGTGGCAGAGGATATGAAAATGTGAATTCAGCAGGCGTTTCCCACCGCTGGTTTTATTGGCTGCGGAGGAGAATCAGCTTTCTGCTGCACGCAGGTGCGTCTCAGATGTTAAATAGCAGCTTCTGAAGGCCTCCCTGCTCGCACCACAAATGTTCACGCAGGTTTGCTGATGGTGGGAGCTCCCTGGTTGAGGATGAGGGCAGCAGCAGCGCAGCAACCAACAGCCAGTGCCGCCCAGTTGGCCAAAATGCATTCGTGTCGTTCACAGTGGGTTTAAATGCTTCTGTGCTGGGTGCTGCCCATCACCCTGGGAGTGTTGTATGAATGAAAGCAGCCCCATTGGGTGCCCTTTGGTCTGAATGAAGCGCTTGGGGAAGGAGCTGTGGGTTCTGATGCTGCTTGGATGGCTCTCAGTCACACCTAAGGAACCAGACGTGCTGTGTACACAGGAGGAGTTTGTGCACGTAGGAATGTGTGTGTGTGCATCTGCACGCAGCTGTGCTGCTCTCCTGGCCCTCCTGCAGCTGATGTATGCAGCAGGGGCGCGAGGAGAGGAAAGTTTTTTGCATCAGTAAAGCACTCCTTTTTTCTCCCCTCATCCCCCCCTCCCTGCCCGGTGTTGACCCCCTCTTTGCAGCAGCACAGCAAAACTCACAGACTGAAATCTCCTTTCTCTCTCATCTTTCTGTTTTTCTAGATGTTTCCCCTGCCAGTGGCTAATGGAAAAAACAGACCCACGACCCTAGCAAGCACTCAGTTTGGAGGATCAGGTATTGTCATCTTCAATTTTATCTTTTTTTTTTCTTAACAACATAAAGTAATAAATGTGTATTTGCTTCCAGAGCCCTAAATGGAGCGGGTTCAGTAGTTCTGTGTGTTTTTCTGGTGGCTGTTTGCTGCTGTTTCTTGGGATGTTCTCTGTTGCCCCAACTATCTCTGGTCAGGCAGAGGGCTTGTGCTGGGCAGACAGTCTGTGCTGGTCTGTTAAGCTGCTTAGATGAAAACATGTCTGCAGATGTACAGAGAAAAATCTTCCAGGGTGTACGGACACCACTGAGGAGATGCTTTTGGTGATGCTCTGCTGTCCAAAAGGTGTGACTGGGATGTCTGCCCTGCTCAGCTCCCTGCTGCAGGTATGATGGATCTCTCTGTTCCCAAAGGTTCCTTTTGCAAAGCCCTCCTGGTCGCCCACTCCCAGGCAGCACGGAGGTGGCAGCAGGGCTGTGTGAAGCTGCTGCATGAGCCTATATGCAAGCATTGGGCTGCTGAGTCCATCCCACTGGGCTGCAGCTGTGCAGGGAAGAGGCTCCCCCATCCCTTACAGGGGTTTGGGAACCCACCCAGCTGTGATAACGGGTTCACTGAAGGGCACAGAGCTTTCAGATGTCAGAAAGAAGCATGGTGGGGATTAATTTGGGGCTGAAGTGGGGAATATGGGGACAGCACTGTGCCAGGCTTTTGCTGCTGTGTTCTACGCAGCACTCGCTGCAGGAAGCTGGGATGGATAAAACTTGATCTTCTCAGCCCCAGCTTCACTTGAGCTATCCAGGGACCTCCTGGCCATGCTGACAGCAGTGCCTGTGCCCAACCCTTGGGACCACTTCTGGCAGGGAGCAATGATGGGGCAGCTTTTGGGGGCTCACAGGGATGTGCAGCATGTGAGGGGTGCTGTGCCCTTCCCCAGCACAGAGCTTTCACCCTGCTCAGCTGCTTGTCAGGATGGCTTTGAGCAGACACTTTCTCGGGGAGGTAAGCCATTGAATGAGTGCTGGAGGAAAGGGAGGAGATTCAAGGGCAGAAACTCTCAGGTTATAACCCAAATGGAAGCTGAGCTCCGCAGCAAGCATTCCGACATGTGCGTATGTTGCCTGTGACCTCTGCCGTTCAAACAATCCACCCAAGACATGCTACATGAGAGAGAACAGCCCTGGAGTGAGCTCCCATTAATTCGTTTCCTGCTCAGAGGCTGCCTTGGCTGCAGGCTCTACAGGGCTGGCCAGAGGGGAGGCTGCAGGCAGGGCTGTGCTCAGCAGCCATGCATTGACTGGACCCCCCCTCTGCTTGGCTGGGCAGCTGCTGAAACAACACAAAATCTTTTTTTTTTTTCTTTCTTTTTTTTTCCCCCCCCCTCTCTTTTCTTTCGGGTGACTGAAAGGTAATGTTGACACCACCCTTCCTCTGGGCTGCTGCTTTTTGAATCTGGCTGTGAGCAGTTCATGAAAACAGAGGGCTGATATTATACAACAGAGGTTGCACAATCGCTGCCGTCCCCGTCCGGAGACCGTGGGACAGCTCTGTCCTGCAGCCTGGCTTGGGTTGCTGCAGCCACAGCATTGCCCTTCAGCTTCTTTGTCCTTAATGCTCTTTGGAGAATGGGAGCTGTGTTTGGGACTTCCCTCTTACCCCTGGTGTCTGAGGATGGATTTTTTGCTGGCTGGGGGAATAGCTGCAGGGAGATGCTGATGAGATGTGCTGTGTGCAGGGGTGCAGTGCAGCTTCTGGAAGGATCCATGCTGTCTAAATGAGGTCCTAGACAGTGGCAAGGGCTGGTTTTCATAGTTTGTGGGCACTGGTTTTGCTTAATTTAACATCGCTATCTCATCATTACAACAACACCAAGATAACAAACCGATGTTATCTGACGTGCCGCGAATAACGATGTTCCATGCTTCTGCCCACCATTGGAAAGGTGAATTCATGGCCCCTCACTCTTCATCTCCCTCCTCCACAGTCCCAGTGCTGTTAACTTTCTACCTCTGAGGATCTCAAGGCTCCAGGCTGTGCCCTTTGAGCAGCAGCAGGTGGTGGGGAGCCGTGCGCTGCTCCCTGCCTGTCACTGTGCCCCATTCACCACGAGAAGGCTCTCACTTCCCGAGCCCAGCTGGTCAGTAAAGAGATGCAGCGCTATGAGAAAACCTCCCCAAGTTTAAATCCTTTCCAAATCCCAATTAATAAGTGCCTTGGCTGCCCCAGAGCGCGTGGGTGGCCCCGGGAGGGGGACCTGCTGCACTCCGGAGCCAGGAAACTCAAAAGTGTTAACACAAGCCCTTCAGCTCCGAGATCTCTTTGCTTTTATATTTGTCTCCTGGTTTTATTTTAAGCTCTGCCACTGTTTCCCTCATTTCTGTCCTCAAATGCACCAGGGAGGAACTGGTTTAGCTATCCCGCTGCCTGGACAATTCAGCACCTCCGCTCTGCGCTTTTTTGGCACGACGCAACCCAACAATTGCCACTAGGATGGAGCTGACGTCATGCAGGCCACAGCCACAGCATTTATAGCATGGAGGTTGGCCTTCCTGAGGCTGTGAGCTGCAAGAAGCATTTTCCAGCCTTGGCCGTGCTGTTTGCTGCTGGCATTTTAGCCCTGGTGCTCAGCGTGCGCCTGTCATCTCACTCCTAGAAGGATGGGGTTTTGTCATCCCTGTGCCACGCTGTGCCATCCCTGTGCTGCATCTGTGTCCCCATCTCGTGGTTTGCAGAGGACCACTCCAAGCTGAAGGCTCTGCCCCACTGTGTTTACTGAAGCTGCACCCCTAGCAGGGAGCTGCGTGCTGAGCTGGGCATGGAAATAAGCATTTCTCATTGGCATTTAACACAGGAGGAGTGATGGGAGGCAAAGAGACCACAGTGTCTCTTTGCAATGTCTTTTCTTTCTAGCCTTGTGCTAAAGGAAGCTCCTGTGCTCGGGATCTCTCAGGTGGGTTCAGAAGGGGGGTGGTTTTCTCCCGGTCTGCAGATCCACCCCCAAAATGTGTTCAGTGCCTTTTTGCTGGGGAGACAAGGCTGGCTGTTAGGGGATTGCTTTGATCGGGGCAAGTTCATGAAGTACATCTGAAGCTGGCGAAGCAGAGAGCTTTTCAAAGAGTTACAAGCTGGTGCATGTAACAGATTTTAAGTTACAGTCTCCCGAACAAAGCGAATGCATTCTCCCTGGAGGCAGGTGAGTCTGTATGCCCTTTGAAAGCCTGCTTTAAACAGCATTCAAACTTGGATACCTGTGGCAACAGCACCGAGAGTAATAAATCCTCTGTAAGATGAGGGTGCCTGTGTCATTGGTGCTACAGGTGAGCTGCTGGAAGGTTTAATGAGGGTGTGTGTGCATGCAGCCGTGGGTCGGGATTCAGGATCACAGTGGAGGCGGTGGGGTTGGAGCACTGTGCTGGCAGCAAGAGGCTTTCAGGCTGCAGAATGGCATTTGCAACTATTTGCCATAGTGAGGAAAAGAGAAGCTTTTATTAGTAAGGCTGTATCACATTTCCCTACAAACAGCCTCGAGTCCCCACATGTTTTGCTTGTGCTGAAGTGGGAGTGATGGGCTGTGCTTGCTATTTTGATACGTGATGGAAGGCAGACGTGAGGGATGCAATATGGGACTTGCAGTTTGGAACTGGCACTTCCCATGGCAGCGTGTCCCTCGGGCTGCCTGTGTGTCATGTGTGTGTCACCAAAGCAGGAGCTGCCACGGGCGAGGAGTCGGTCAGAGCGTTCTGTTGGCATCACAGCATCTTCCAAATACAAATGACTTCTGCCCGTTATCAAAGGAAGAACAAATCCCTTACTATAGACAAGACAAAGCCTGGAAAGAAGCAATTGTCTGCTGCTCTGTGCAGCCCAGGAGTGTTTCCATGCCTGGGTGTAGGAGGGTGCTGAGGGCAACACCCCACGCTCCCAGCCTGGCCCTTCCAGTAACGGAGCCAGGAGGACTTTCAGGGAAGTTCTCCCACGTGCTGCAGGCGGTGCTTTGAAGGGCTTTCAGCTGTGCTTTGTCTGTGTCTTCGGGAGGCTCCTGTTCTCCCTCCTCTCCCTGATCTCACCCTGGGGTGGATCAGGTTAAGGATGCAGAAAATAGGACTTGAAAAAAAAAAAAAGAACCCACAAAAACATGAAAACAATCCTGAAAGTAGGGTTGGAGATGGGGAACGTGGGTCAGCAGGCGTGGGGAAAGAAAAGGCTTCACTTCTATGTCCCTTCAGCCCTGTAACCCTGACATGGGGCACCCCATGGAGTGCCTCCCATACCAAGTGCTCCCCCTGCACCTCTGCAGCTTGTATCAGTTTCTGTTCCTTTTCATCCAATCTGTTTTATTTTTCCCTTGGGCTTCCTGTGCAGGGAGTGAGGCCATCCCAAGGGACCAGGTTTGTGATGGGTGCAGTGCAGGAGAGCGCAGAAAGGTGATGCTCCAAGGTCAGCTCAGCACTCAGAAGTCTCACTGCCAGCTTTGGTGTGCCAAGATTTAGGGTGAGAGGGTGCATACGTGCAGGGGAAGGAGATTTTTACTCATCTCCCACCCCGGGGAAGGGTCCTTCTGGCCAGATTTTGAGATTTCAAACCAGAAGAGGGCCCAGGGAATGTCAGGTGATGCCAGAGAGCCAACATTGCACTGAGATAAGAGACAGCTTTTGTTTAGAAGCCGCAAATGCGACACAGCCCTTGTTTAAGCACACAGCTTTAACTTTGCCACGGAGTTGGAGCAGTGCAAGCATCTCCTGCCATAGAGCTTCCCCTTCCCAAGATGAGGCCATGCAGACCTGGTGAAACTCTGCCTGCTCGAGGGCTTGTGATGGGGGGAGTGCTCCTGTGCCTCACCTGGCATAGAGCTGGAGTGGGAGTTCTCCTTCTGCCTTTCAAAAGAAGCTGCACCTGCTTTCTTTCAATAAAAGGAGGTGGTGCCTAATGCTGTTGCATTGCTTAGGCTGCTGTTGCCTCGATCACCAGGGATCCCGTTAAAATGATCAGCAGCATGCTAAGGGTTTGGCACTGGGAAGCAGCAGCTCTGCCTCAGCTCACCCCACATCTGCCTGAGCGTTGGGCCAAGACCTGAACTTCTGTGTTTGAGAGGGGAAAAAAGGTAGGTGCCAAATGTGACTGGGAAGCCCTGCCAGCACTGGGTGCTCCTCTGCCCGCTCTTCCTATCGTGTTCTGCTGGTGGGAGTAGGCAGAAAGCTTGCTTTTGGCTCAGCATCCCGGCTCGAAGCCTTCCACGCTTATTGTGCCCTTTCCAAAGGGGAGAGATGGCTTTGGAAGGGGCCCAGCAGG